GAAATAGGAAAGATATTACCTGCATGTAAGAAAATAACCAAACATAGCAAAAGAACTAAGCCTCACGGTCTGAATTTCAGCTTCTAACGACAACCACTTACTGTTGTCTTTCTCGAAGAAGAAAGAATAGCAAGAGAGACAAGAGAGAAACACCTCTTCAACACACACACAAGAAATCCTCTAGATTTCTATAACCCTCTCGTCTTCCTCCTCACCTAAGAAGCAAAAGACCAAACCCAAACCCTCTCTGCGGCTATCATCTCTCAAAACCCGAAAACAGAGAAAGGAAAAATGTTTTCTCTCACAGCTCTTCCCCTCCTCTTCAAGGAGCAATTATTACATCCAATGTCCGAATGCATTCAGAGACCAATAACCACGCGCCACGTCACCTAAAACTCGGTATTTTGAACTCGGTATTGCTCGGTATACATTCGGATCGTTCGATTTTTGACCGGATGTAATAATTTCTCCTCTTCAAGACACCTGAGATCTTTATATAAGGAAAAGACATAACAACCCCCACACTCAAGAAATAAAAGAAAGATGATAAGGATAATAAAGCCAATTAGTTAATTAATTTAATTAACTGACTAATTAAATTAAACAACCCAAATTTATTTAAACCACTTATATCACAACATTTAAAATCTACTATTATATAATAAAGTACTTCATTAACTTTACAGTAATGTTGTGAAAATCGGACCGGTTGAACTGGCCGGTCCGATTCGATTTTTAAAACGTTGCTTTCTACCTTCATTGCCCCTAAAATCCTCGATGATGAATAAGAGCAAGAAAGTAAAAAAAGAGGTTTCGTTGAGATGAATAGAAAGTATGATGAGATATCATTGAGACAAAAAGACAATAAAAGTTACGACATAGAAGGGTATCCATGAAACTGATAGACTGGAGAAAGAGGTGGAGAAGCCATGATCAAATATCAATGGCGAAAGATACCAGCAAGACCATCGGCTTGTGAAAGATCACAAGAAGTTTTAACGGAGAGGATGAGAAGATTGCTATTCATATATTATTTAAAAAAATTGAGTTTTATGCACGTAAATAAGAATTTTTAAATTTAATTATATGAATAGAAAAACCTTCGCCAAATTAACCTTCGGAGTTATTCAATATGAATATATCAAAAATAGTGAAACTATTAACAAAAAAAAAAATCAGAGCACATGAATTAAGCTTAAATGGGCCGAATCTTCTAGCCCATCCCACGTATGTCAGGCTTAACCCCTCACTTCATTAACTCTTTTTTTATGCCCAAATTTCATTCCCAAAAATGAAAAGTTCCAAAGAATATAAAATTATTTGTAAGAAAAACAAAAGAAAAAACTTACAAACAAAAAGAGAAAAGGAAATAAATCCCAAAAAAAAGGAAGAACTGAGTGAAGAAACTCTGAAAGACCAAGCTAATACAAGCTAACAGAAGAACAAAAACTGAGCCAAAAAACTCAGAGACAACAAACTAGAGAATAGTCCCCGAATGCCACTCGAAAATCAACTTCAGGTTTTTGCTCTTTTCTCGGGGAATCTCTAATCTCGTGGACAGTAAAGAAACAAAGAACAGTGTCAAGATCATCAACTGAATCAGAATATAGAGCGCTTGCCGCTCTAACCTCGGACATCATATGGCTACGTCGACTATTGGTCGACTTCGGCATTCAACAAGACTACCCTACAAATCTCTATTGCGACAACATGTCAGCTATTGCACTGGCCAACAATCCAGTGTTTCACTCAAGAACCAAACACATAGAAATAGATCAAAAATTTCTACATGATCACATTCAACAAAACAATATCAATCTGCATCCTATCAGTACAACAGACCAAGTCGCAGATATCTTCACCAAAACATTATCTACCCCAAGGTTTCATCAACTTCGTCTCAAATTGACGATCATTCAGGATCCATCAATTTGAGGGGGCATATTAGAACTAAGAATATAACTGTTAGCCTCGGTATAATGATCTAGAAGATTCACAGGGTTATTTGTAATTAATCAAATATTTGTATAACTATCGGGCTCTATATAAAGAGCTGCGGTCATCTTGTAAAGGCTAAGAAATATAATTCTCTGTTTTCTATTCTTCTCTATATTCCTTTCGTCTCTACATTTTCTACACTAATGAAGCAGCTTACCGGACCCTGCAAAAGAAAGAGAAAAGAACGGCAAGTTTTAAAAAAAAAAAAAAAAAAAAAAAGCCATCCAAGATTTAAAGAAAAATCTGGTTGCCAAAGAAAGAGTCAAAAACTACGCAAAAAGCCTTTAATAGAATTGTAAGACTTCCAAACATAAATCTTTGCAGAAATATTAAAAGTGATAGTTTTACACAAAGAATCATAATTAGAAAAAAAAATTTTCAAATCCCCTAACATTTCGTTCTTTCCAAATAAAGTAAATAGAACCACAGACAATTATAAAACATAAATTTTTAAAATTAGAATCCGTAATAAAAGACGAAATGAAATCCAGTAATTGCTACAAATTAGGCCTAAAAAGGAAAAAAATATTAAAAAAAAAGTAATAAAACAGAAATAATGTTGAAATAATAATCGCATTCAAAAAATAAATGATTATGGCTTTCATCATGATTCAAACAAAGGATACAAGATGTGGAGAGGTTAAGATTTCTCTTAACAAGATTATCGGTAGTTTTAAGCCCTCTCAACATGGCCATCCAAGCATAAGAAGAGTATCTCAAAGCATATCTTTTTTGCCAAATAAGCTTATACCAGTCCACTTTAGGACAATTATCGAAGAAGCTATTATAAAACATATTAAAAGAAGGAATAAGAGTGTTATTCCAGGAAATATTAGACACCAAGATATCAGATATAGGCAACTTTGATAAAATATTTCTAATATTTGAAGGCAGAGAATCCGGAAAAAAACCAAGAGTTAACAGCAATCCAGTCACCAAGCAATGCCTAATGAAAAAAAGAAGACAAAGCAACTCTTTCAGAAGTGACAATATCATGAATAGACTTTCCCATAAATCAAGGATCCCAATATAACGAAAGAGTACTATTGGAAAAAATGTTAAAATGAATTTTGCAAGTAATCATCTTGGCAATAGAAGATATATTCTTCCAGAATCTGGAAACAGAATGCGAGTAAGGTTTTCAAAAAGAAACATATTTATTCTTAATCCAACTAGCCAACGGATCCATATCATTCATAATTCTTCAAATAAGAGTACATTTATAAGCAAAACCAAGAACTTCATGTTCAAAAATACCCAGCCCGCCAACATGATTAGGCAAACAAACTTTCTTCCAAGCTATAATATAGATCTTTCTACTAGTAGAATCTCCATGAAAAAGATATCATTAATGATATATTTAATGATAGACACAATTGTACCACTTTTTTTTTTTTTTTTTGGATCATATTGAACACTTCTGCATCATTAAGAATAAGGCAATTACACCTTAAAGGCAATGAAACTATGCAAACCATATGCAACGAGAAAATGCAAACCATACTCTCTGCATAAGGTCGTATTTAAAGATAATTTTACACTTCCAATTACTAAGCAGTCAACATAGTTGTAGACTTGTAGTTTCAGATTTAAAGCCTGACCGATCACTTGTGAAATGTTGAAGGTTCAGGAAAGTCGGCATGGGTTGCTGGTGTGATGATCATTCTCATCCTACTCCTTTCATGGAATTTATATCTGCTATTTTTCAAGAGAGTAATGATGGATATCCTGGATGGGATAGAGCAAGTTTTGAGCGTTACCAAATTGTGACCTGGTTATGAGTGGGTTTTCAACAGGTTTTAAGCTTTAGTGGGTTTTTGATCGAAGGAGATGAAGTCGGCTGGAGGAAGAGCAAGGGAGCAGTGTGAAGGGTTTTGTGAGCTGAGATGTGCTCACAGGAGTTCTTGTCAGAGCAGGTTCTTGCACAGAGAACGGACAAGTGCTATAGAGTTCGGGTGGTTTAAATAGCAAGGTAGCAGAACCGCAGCCTATGGAGGGCTTCTTGGAGTTTGGAAGAAATTGTAATCAACATTGTAGCAGAAGATTGGATTAGATATTCTTTTGAGGTGAAGTTGGCCTGTTCTTGAGGAGCAGTGCTAGGAGTGGCGCTCGGAGGGGCGCGGGCTTGCAGTGCGCAAGGTGGTCGCATGGTAGCACAGAGACCTTGCAGGGCGCAGGTGAATGCGCAAAGCATGGGATTTGAGACTGAGACGAGCAGGGCGTAGGGCTCGGTGCGCAGGTGGATAAGCGCAGGATGTGGTCGGAGTCAGACCACATGAGCTCAAGGTGTGGGCGCGGAGATGGAGGCGCATGGTGCGGGTGGATGCACAGGGCGTGGAAAGCAAAGACGCACGAGGTGCATGGTGTTAACCGTCCAGTGGATGCTATTAGCGGGAAGACCGGCGGGATTGTTCTTTGTTGACAGCAGTTATCCTTTTTTATTGTGTAAATACATGACCAAGGTGGAGATTGTTAGATATTGGTCCTAGATGTATGATGTGTACTTTCTTTAGAATCTTGAATGGCTTGTATTACCATTGATGTTGTTTTTGTGTAGCTTGTTTTGTTATTTTTTGTACCTATAAATAGATGCTCTATAAACTGTAATAGGCATGGTTAAGCAATAAAGGATTTGTTTATTTGATTCAGCTCTCTCCCTCTCCCCTTCCCCCTCTCCCTCCTCTCGCAAGAAGCTGAAGAAGAAAATGCTTCTTCCTCGTTCAAGATCCTAACATGACATCTGAAGATGCTCATAGGAAAGTAAAGAAGCATTTGAAATCCCTTAGTTTATTCTCAGTGTATTTCATATTTTCCACTAAATATATAAACGAATTCAAAATACAAGGAGTCCCGGGAACATTAAGCGAAGCAATTTTCATAGTATGAGCTCTGCGCACTTTTTGCTTGCTGGGCGCGGCGCTTGAAAGTTACTCGCAACATGCTCGTCATGCGCAAAACACTAGCAGCTCTGATGGATGCACAAGACAGAACAAAAACTGAAAGAAGAAAAACGAGAAGAAAATAACACACAAAATTTCTCTGTTCACAAGTATTTTCACTGGCAAAGACAAAACCGAGAGCAAAACTCCACACACAAAAAAGTCTTTTCACGGGATAACCAAACATAGAGAATAACCAACAAGTTTTAAACTGCCTAATAATAATTAAAAATAAATAAACGGAAGCATTGAAGCAGCGCTTGGTTTGGAAAACTCCAACAAGCTCACCATGTGCCCCCACATGCTCTGCCTACTACCGCTACCCTCTAACCCATTGCCATTGCCGCATGCCCTTTGTACGTATCAGCAGAAGGACTATTAAGACTCTTGGGGATGATCCTGTGGCTACCTTAATGATACGTTGAAGCAAGCTTCTTGTCTTCAGTGATTGTTTTCGAAGCAGAAGAATTGAGATTGATTGTTGAAAGTGAAATGGTGGTGGAATTCTTGAGTTGCTCAAGCTGCCTCTTCCCACGCCGCAAAAGATATTCAATGTACTGAAAGTTTTTGCGATCAACATTATTAGCATTATGATGGAACTCTGCGGAGACAACAGACACAATCCTTTGGCGGTCTTCAAGATTCTTCAACCGGGCTGCCCGAAGAAAACAACGGTACAAAGCCAAGACCTGCCTTTGCATTCCAGAAAGTTTCCAAGGAGAAGCCATCTCATCTTTAGTATCATTAACCTCTCAAAGAATTCTTGAAAATGAAGTCCCAGAGCGTGAGAGCGGGTCGGCGGCTAGGGCAGGAGATCGGGATCTGCGGGCATCGGCGTCGGACTCGGCTAGGGCAGGTCGTCGATGGAGGCGAGGAAGAACCGGGTCGACTTCCTTCCTTCTGAACGTGCAAACGACAGAGCGAGGGAGAGGAGGCGGGTTTCAGCTAAGGCTTGCGAACACGGCGGCGGAAGATAGAGCTCGATCGGCCAGTTCATAGGGTTTCGAATAGGGAGACTATTGAACCAAAATTAGCCACGTATGTCTGCCAACTGAAAAATTATTAGGTGCAGAGAGTGGGCATCATCCGCATAAATATTCGATATCTAGTGATACCTAACAGTACTGAGTGCGGATACCACTAGGTACCCAATATTTGTACGGATAATTCTCTCCGTTCGCAATCCGCACCTAATAATCCCTGTCAACCTAGGATCTAGTTGGCAACCAGCATTGTTCCATCATATACAATTTAAATTGAAGGATGTAATCTACACTTCTTATTATTGATAACTATAAAGTATTCTGAATAAAAATTAAGATATCCATAGTTAAAATTTCATATGCAAGAACTTCATTGCTATCGCCGTATTTGCCCATGAGACTTATGACATAATCTTTTCTTATAGCACAACAATTAGGGATCAAAATCAGTGCACTCGAGTCAAAGTTCTTATGTAACATAACTAAGCTAGTTTAATTTATGTTGATTGGGCTTAACGATCGCCCAATCACCAAGTAAGAACTATTAGGTTCTGAGAATTATTAGATCCTTTATAAATTGTTGATCGGCTTAAACAACTTTTAGAATTAATGGGATAAAGATAGAGCTTGGGCACAACTCATCTCAATTTGTCGTTTAGGAGTTTTGGTTACTAACTAAGACGTCTAGAGATCGAAAATTGCGTCTATGATGTGTCTATGAATTTAACTTAATGGCTCAAATGCTAAAAAAAAATAAAAATTTTAAAAAAGGAGCTGAACTTTGCTTAAATGTGGAAATTGCTTAGAAGTGTTAGATTCGATTATGTCCTCTTCAATGTTCCTATTCGATAAATTTCTCATAACCTTCATCGTTCAACCCATCCCTTTAATAAGGGCTCATTTGTTGCTTGTAATTAAAAAGTCTGTTTCAATAATTAATAATTTTATTTTTACTCGTTTTATGCGTAAAATAAAAACATTATTTTTATGAAGGTTTTGAGATAGCTTGTTATGTTTGAAAACAATATTAATTTCTAACTATTTCAAACAAAATAATAAATTTTAAAAATTCAACATTCCTAAAAATATGCTTCTGAATTTTAAGTAGGATGAAAGTGAGTAAAGTAGATGTATGCGCCGGCTTGAGCTTGGTTTGATAAATGACTTGTGAGCTGAATTTGATGGGTTAACCAATCAAACCTGAGCTAGCCTCAATTCAAATCTGGCGAGCCGACTTGTTGAAAATATATTACTTTAAAATACAATAAAAAAATCAAATTGAAGAGTTCAATTATAAAGCTATTATAAATATTTAAAAATTATATCACTTTTTTGTACTAAGTTTTCTTTATTATTTATCTTCTAATTTCTCATATTTAATAATTTTATTATAATAATAATTATTTTTTTCTCTTTCATTTATTATAAATGAGCACGATTGTGAGACAATTCAAATTCATAGAATTAAGCTCGAGCTTGAACTCAATTAGTTAAACAAGTTCAAGTTTAAGCTAGGGGTTACCGAAACTCGACTCGACCGATGTAGACCCATAATTTTAAACAACCAAATTAATGGAAAATCAAGTATTTTTGCCAATCTAGTAGAACCTAGTCTTGTATGCTAATCAAATATGGACCAGCCAATGGAGGAGGTTAGTTAGTTTTAGACTTCGTTTGGGATGGCTCTCTTAAATACTGTTTCTTAAAGTATTTTTTTAGAACAAAAATTAAAATTTTTATACTAAAAAGCTGCTTCGAGAAGCAAAAAAGCCATCCCATATGAAGCCTTGGGGTGACTTTTTTATTATTTTTTAAAGTAGTTTTCTAGTAAAAAAACTAAATTTGTTATACTAAAAAATTATTTAAGAAGTAAAAATAAAGCCGTGGCAACCAAAGCCTTAATCTCCACTTTTTCACATTGTTTTTTCTCTTAATAAAGTTTTTCTCTAGACTTAGAGGAAATTTGGAGTTGGAGGAAAAGGAGCATTTAGACTTTTCAAAGCAATTATCTTTGAAACTCGTACGCTGCATGCCCTTATTTCAACGAAGGATAAGAACAAGAGCTGCAATATAACATCCAGAAAAGGAGAGATCAGCGTTCTAAGTTTTTTTCTTGGAAAATAGTACTCTTTTAATTAGCTGTTCTTATTGCATGGAATTAATGGGTCAGATTTAGGAGCAGACTACATTTCTGATTTCTCCTCCAAAAAAGCCTTGCAAAGAGCTTAAGTACTATTAATTGTCAAAGAATTAGTTATTTTAGTCATATTTTGTGAAGAAAATGTGATTAAAATTTTTAGTCAAAGTTAATAATCACACCTTCAAAATAATGACCACAAGAAGAAGAGCGGGGTTAAATGTACTAATTTTAGACATAATTTTTCGAAACAAAAGTTTGACTAAATTTAAGTATTTTTAATTAGATTTATAGCTCAAACTTGTTGTAATGATGCACTAATAACTATTTTTAACTAATTGTTGATGAATATAATTTATTTTTTTATTTTAGCTCTTTAAGTTGTTTATATTCTATTTTTATGTACATCAAACTTTATGCAAGTAAACTTTTTTTTTTTCATTCTAATATATATTTTTTGGAACGACGCAAAATTTAACGTCTAAATATAACGGTAACTAATTTGTCATTAGAAAATATATCAATTAGATATAAAACTTGATGCAAGAAATTTGTAGGACTGATTTCATGACCATCTCAACTTTAATTCTACCAAATTTATAATCAGATTGAAAAAATCAATAATACAAAAAATGACCTCAATTCGTATGAATCTAAATTATGTTTTTAAAATTTCATTCTGAATTATGAGACCTTAATCTAAGGAAAAAATGATCTTCGATCTTTATATACTTATAGTCAACATGTGTGAATTGATGACAACAATCTAATGAAATCAACATCACTCAATTCCAAGATCATTAAGTTTATCAAATACTAAAATAATAGTCTATGATCTAAGGAATCGATATAATCCATTCGATAGTGAATTTTGGGATTTTGAATAGCTAGACTGCCTTTCTCCATAAGAAAGTGACAATGATGGATAGTGCTTAAAAATATGATGAATTTTAGAGCCTTAGTAAAAGTTCAATGCACTGCTATTATTATCATATAACTGCTATTGTCTAACTATCATCACATTCACAGTCATCTGATCATTGTCATCCAACAATTATAATACATTCATAATTATCCAATCCTTAACATATGTTTGTCATTGCCTTATCATCATTGCTTGTTCGTTATTATCGATTAACATTGTTCAGATATCATCATCCAACTATAGCAATTGACTATCATGCTAGTTTGCTGCCAACAATCAAATGACATCATCTAATTGATGTCATCACCATCTACTAATTTTCAAACAAACTTTATTGTAATTACATGAGATCAAGCTTGAGTTCTCTATTTTATAATCTTGTCTTATCTAATTGAGGGGATGAGATGATATATATAATTTTACTTGGATCATTAATCATCTTATCTAGGTTGAGCCCCATGATTTTTTTCTTTTCATATTTTCATGTAAAAATTGTATTGCTTCCTATATTCTTCCACGTTATTTATATGTATTGAATCTTTATGTAAAAGTAGGACATAAAACTCTCTTTTTTATCAAAAAGTTTCTATGTGGCGCATTCACGTGATCTTAAAATGTTCCATGCATTGAAACATATAATACTTTTTTCTTATAAAACAAATAAAATTTATGATATGATTATATGCCAACAATAGTATGTAGTGCTAAATAGTTTGGCATTTTTAAGAAATCACTAAATAGTTTTGCGTTTTTGCCAAATTATTTGGTGTTCTTACTTCTTTTTAAATTTTTTTAATGATTATGTTTCTTTTGCTTAACTACTTTATAATCAAGTTCCTTCATTTGATTAAGAATCATGATCATTTATTTGCGATTTCATCTCTCTTTGGTGATCACGTACAGGATGAAATTTTTACTGTTCAAAGTCACGAAAACAACTAGCTAGCTTTTAGTCAATTCAAAGACGTGTTACCGGCAAGAGAAACTATTCAAGTGTAACTTCGCAGGCAAAAACCTTCAGAACTAATATTCAAAGGCTGGCGTTAAATTGCAACTTGCACATGCGGTTCTTCGCTTTCATAATACGTACGCTTCTCATCCTTGCATTTTGAACTTTAAAGATATAGCTTTTCTTCAGCAGAAAAGGATGACGAGCACCTTTACATAGTAGTCCATTCAAACACAAGTTCTGATAGCTAGCTGGTTCTCTATCAAAGAAATACTTGGCTGCGTAATGCCCATAAACAAGGGGTGTCAATTTCGGATCACGGGTGTAATTCGGGTCGAATTCAGAACTAACTCGGGTTCAAACGGGTTGACCCTAATCCTACCCGGGTAGATAAACGGGTCGGAAATCCTAACCCAGACTCGACCCGACCGGTTGCTGGGTTGACTAGACTCGACACTGTACCCAAAACGCGCGAACGAGCGCCGGCAAGCTGCGAGCGCGGGTGAGCGCAGGTGCGCGTGGCGAGTGCGGGCGAGCACGGGTGCGCGGGCG